TTTCCACTTTCAAACATACTTCTAACATTCCATGTAGCTAATTTTTTGTTTTGTCCGGAGATTCTTAGCACCCTCTGACCATTGAAGGTCTGCCGGGGACTGAGGGCCATTCCTGGATTGTATGTCATAATACTATAACTAGGAAGAAAATAATGTGGTGGTTTTCCATTGCCTTCCACATTCCCATGCCGTTGACTAAGTAAATAGTTCATCCGCCTTAAGGAGCAATTTCTTACTCCTAGGACAAGAGATTGCCCTTCTTCATCACAAGAATGAAGTTAGAAGTTTATCCCGACTCCTGCTCGGTCCCCTCCTATGTTAGCCGTCTTACCAACGTTGCCCATCCTTCACCGGAGGCATTATGTCCCACACTAGGAGGTATAGGTAGGGGTTTTCCCATCAGCAAATTTGAGACCGTAAAGGCATTTCTCAAATTCTCCGGTACTTTTGAAGGACAATCATTCTACAACATATTTAATTCTTCACTTTTAAAAAAAGTCTTCAGTTTTCTATAGGAAATTCGAAATCTGAAAGATTTGAAATTAGCTAAATTAACTATATACATTTATATTTATAATTTAAACTAATTACCTGGTATAAAATCATGAATAATATCAAAATGGTCATAAACGTTAAGCGCATTAAAGATATTGACGGCATCTTCATCTTCGATAGTATCCATTGTTTCGTATAGATCCGAGATGAGTTTTACAAAATATGGCGACTTATCACTGATAAGTTTATTCTGTAACTTTCTGAACAAGAAATAAACCTCCTCCTCTTCTTCTATAAAGATTACATGTTTTAAGTTTCATAAATTAATTAGTAAAAGTACTAAGAATACCACTTACCAGACAAGAGAAAGACACAAAGTTTCATGTGATGGAAGAAAGTCATCAATTCTACGTTTTTAAAATACATAAAGAAAGAGCGTAGAGAGTGAACATAGTCAGAAAGTAATTGAAAAGTTTCCTGCTCAACATTACTCTTAAATTGTTCTTGAATATCAAAATCTAGGAATTCGTGCAATTCTTCGTAAAGGAATGCAAAGTCAATCAAAACTAATTTGCATAATTTTTTCCTGATGAGTTCCACCTGAATACTTTTGCTAGTTAGTACGTTTAAGATGAAATTAATTAGATTTAGAGGTCCGTACTTACAAATGTAGCAGCAGGCAATGTGTACCAAAGGATGTTATTCAGTACCAGTTCAGCATTTTGCAATATCAGGTTGTCTAGATATAATTTCAATCGTATGTGTTTTGCCTTGCGATGGAATAAGTCGGAGAAAATTATCTGTAATGAATGTAGGTAAATTGATTCATTAAAGGATTGTATAAAGGATGATGAACAGATTATCCACAAAAAATAAAGAGCATCGTGGTAGAATTACAACGCGAATTAAATTAGACACGGGTAGCTTATCCTGAAGTTTAGTTACACAGCTGTGGCCTAATGAGTAAAACCACTAAACATAATCGCGCCTCACCAAAGTGGAGTATTTCGGGTCTTCTTCGCATCTGTAAATCTTAAATAGGAGCCAGTTCCCTACAGAAAATCTTCCTGGAAGCAATGGCGCTTTATAGCTTCATGGTGCCCAGGTGAATTTGAATTAGGAGCCCCACGTACTGTGTCGAGTTCAGACATTTTTATTCGGTGGAATTTTTCGGGACGAAATATATTCTAATAAAAGATTGGCCCTCTGTTAGTGGTGGTCTCGGGCAATTGCCCATTCTGCCCATATAATAACGCGCACTCTTCCTTGACAGATCGGCCACGGATTGCGTTGCTCCACACCATCAACTCTTCAATCCTTTAATCCTGAAGGTTAGTTGTGTTGGTCTTCATTAGTAATTGAGCAGTGGGAACAGAAGTATCCAACACATTGTCTACCTGAAGATGCAAAAAGACAGGTACTTTTTCAACTAGATTCAGTAATCGCCATGAAATACAAAATGCCATTGAGATAACCATGAAGATTTAGTGTCGCGTGAATTGAGAGATTAGCATTAATTGAAATCCACGTATTGTGAAAACCCAACAGTAATCTGGATTCTATTCCTCACTCCAAAACGGGGAGTCGAAGCTAAACTAGTATGGCCACCTTGCTAACTAAAACACGATTCATTCACATTGTTGGTATTGATATTACCTCAATAAGGAACTGTCAACACGCGAAATAACTTCACTTTATCTAAAAAAAGTGTTTAAAATGATACTTACACTATTAGTATACTTCTTAAATTGTCTTGATTTGTACTTCGTACCACAGCACTTTACTTCTACACCTTTTGCGCGTATATTGATTGGTAAAGTACCAATTTTTACCTGAGTTGTATTTTTGCTCTTCTTGTAACTACGTATTGCTTCTTTAGTTACAAAGTTACCTTTTCCGTTCTTAGTACCGTAACCTTACGTGTAAAGAAATTTCGTGAAATTTGAATGAAAAACACATAGAAATTTAATTAGTAATGGAGATAATTACTGACGTAGAACTTACTCTGTGTGTCTGTGATAGCCAATCTCACTTTTGACAGATTGATACGGCCTGATTTTGATACAGAACGAACAGGAATTATCAAGGAGTAAAATTTGGTGGAATCGTAAGTTATCAGAGGAACTGAAAACACAAACTAATTATGTATAAAATTACACAGTTCATTTAATATATTATACAAATTGATCCAAAGTAAACGTTCATTATACACGTATTGAACCACCGAGATCAGGATTACTTGAAAAAACTTTGTTTCAAAACTTGACGATAGGGGAAATATAGCGCTGTAAAAGAGAAAATACATCATAATGTAAAGACAAATTAATAAAATGTAAAGATTTTCTGACTCTTCATCCTGTGGGCACTTAGAAGATCTTTTCTTCAGACTCATCGTGGGTTTGACCTAGTCTACAATGGGACACTCAGGTGAAGGACATGGCATTGTATTTGACAGTAGCGAGTAACGTGAGGCTGAGACGACGTCAATAAATCAATAAGGAACGTTTAATTATATCAATTTTCCTTGCTACTTACTTTTATACGTGTCTTTAATAATTACAAAGTTTTTGAGGCAGTTCGAACATAAATAGAAGGCGTGAAAATTAGACTTATTTTTCTTTATTTCTCGTTTCCATGATCTAATTGGTGCTTTATAACCTAGGAAAAAAGTTATAGAAATTTTGTATTATTATCATTTCATTCTTTTCTGAAAAATAAAGATCCTATTTGTATTCTTATCCAAAAATATTTTGATATTATATATAGAACCACTGAACCACTGACTAATCAAAAGATTAGGACAATGGTGATCGGAATTATACGTTGATTTCTCCAAAGCAGAGTTTTATGTACCCAAACCAATCTCAGAATATAAACAGGAAAATGTGTAGCCCTTCAACAATATATGAAAATCGATGAAAATAAATAAATGTGGCAATCTTAGCGATGTTGATCGGTGTACACATTGCCAGTGTAAGACACATGGATCATTTGATCTTTGATGTGGCAACAACTTTAGGTCTCTCAAGGACTTCGTAATATGAGTCTACTGGACATATACCATTCGTGGATGTACCAGCACTCGGCGGGCAAATGTCGGTTGTCCACATCATAATTGGTGACTGGGGCGAAGAGACTTTCTATGCTGCTAAAGATTGATTTAAGGCGACGGTGATGCAGATCATTTCCATGTTGAGTGCCAGATTGTATGAACCACGAGGCATATCCTAGGCTAAGAAAGCTGACGTTCTCCTCTTGTGCCACTGCTGACTGTGCGTCATCAAACATTGGTAAGCACAATGTTTGATGACTCCCCACAGAGTGGAGGCGAGTTGCATGGTCGGATAAATCCCGTTTCCAACTGTATCGGGCTGATAGAAGGGTGTGAATGTGGTGTCAACCACGTGTGGTCTTGGACTCACTTTACCAGGTCGGTTCCGTTCAAGGCGTGAAGGTTCTGTAATGATTTGGAAAGCTATTTTATGGAGGCTTGTTACGTCCCCTGGTGTGTCTGGGGAAGTTCTTAAACACTGCCAAAATGTTATGGCTGATCATTTATATCTTTTCTGGTCTTCGTGCATGCTCAACAGGGTGATGAATTTTACCAGATCAATGCTCTGACTCATCAGACAATTATTATTCAGAGTTCCATTAGAGTTTCCGATTAAAGTCTTCAGATTTAAGTTCTATTAAATCTCTCTATGATGCAACTAGAGACACATAGTTCATCTTCTAGATTTCAGAATCGATAGAAATGGTGACCATGAAGAAATGATTTTAATAAAAAGCAAATAATGATGAGCAAAAGAGATATTCATAGTCTATTTAGTACCATGGAAGTTAGAGATATCTCAATTATTAATAATACAAAGATCAGAATGATTTACAATGGACTTTCTTGTCACGATGCGTGCTATTATGTATATATATATATATATATATAAAACAGAAAGTCGAAAGAAGAATGATTGACTCAATTAAATTTTGGCATTAGACGACACTTTGGGCATTAAAAATGACAAAATTGCTCAGTAATACAGGAAATTAAACATGTATGCACACTGGAAACAAAAACTATTGTGTTTTGGGCACATCTATTTTTCATGGATAAATATTTGCATCTTTACCGATGCTAATACTCCTTAACATAGAAATGAGAAGAGGACTAGTGCTGGCAGAAATGGGATTTTCTGAAAAATCGGTTAACCGGTTGCGATAAGTCCTGTGTTTAAATATTAGATGCCAAATCCCCTTATTTAAAGCCAATTTCAATACAGTAGAAATAACGTTTTTAAAGCAGGTTGATCGGTTTGCTTGTTACCACATAAGAGGACAACAGAGAGAGGTGAAGGAGTATTAGGTAAAGTCACAAGGAATCAGCAATAACTCGACAGAACATAATAATACATTAATGCAAGACTATCCATTTTTTCAAAACAATCTTACTGAACACCGTCTTACCTTGAACTTGAATACTCTTTGTTTTACTTTTTCCAACTTCATGTTTATGTTTTTTCACTATAGAAGTGATGATTTTTCTTTCTTCTTTACATTCATTTGCCGTCAATTTGCACTTCTCTTCCTCCGACGTTGTCAAATCATCAATAGAAAATATAGTTTCACTGCTTGGATCTAATTTTTCAGTAGATTTATGTTCAACTTTCTGCGCGCTCGAAGAACGATTTACTTCTTAAATTGTCTTGATTTGTACTTCGTACCACAGCACTTTACTTCTACACCTTTTGCGCGTATATTGATTGGTAAAGTACCAATTTTTACCTGAGTTGTATTTTTGCTCTTCTTGTAACTACGTATTGCTTCTTTAGTTACAAAGTTACCTTTTCCGTTCTTAGTACCGTAACCTTACGTGTAAAGAAATTTCGTGAAATTTGAATGAAAAACACATAGAAATTATTATTTTCATTGTGAAATTAGCCTAAAATTGTATGTTCTTATTTTGCTATTGTATTCTTATTTTTACTCTTTTCACACCGTTGGCAGTAACAGGGTCTTTTACTATGACTATTATGGGTTTGATCAGGACTACAATAAAGATAGTCAAGGTGATGTCTCACCACGTGGCCACACCTCAGGTTCGTTTTACCAATGGTCTCCAACTTATTCGAATAACTCGATTGTAGAAATATATGAGTTCATCATGACATGACCCTGGATCCCGTAATGGTTTGTTGGTGTCTTTACCTATTTGGCCATCTGGCAATCCGAAAATTTCGTGTTGAAGCCAGAACCTATGACCTTTTAGAACATTAATTAATCTACTGCAATACAGGACAGCTTTATACCTGAATACTAAATACGACAACGGATAAGTATTATCAGAATGAGTCCGAATAAATGGAGTTTGAATATGAATTGCTCTGTACATAAAGGCCATTTTTTGACCTTGCATGGCTCACACCAACTTAATTCTCCCTTGGCAGATGGATGCCCTGTGTACAGTCTCCCTGTTGGCTGATGTCCTTACGTGTTGCTGCAAATGAACGATACACTTAAAGCTTAACACGAAACGGTGTAAAATAAAAATTTAACGTTACCGTGAATGAACGAATGAAGATTTCATTAAAGTACAAAACAAATTTTTAANAAAATCCGTTATGTAATGGAAAAAGTATTTTAATTTAATCCTTTCTTCATACAGTTTTCTTCCTCGATCTATTTCTTAAATTGTTTTGTCTATTAAGATTATTTATTAATTATAACTTAACACTTCTGATTAATAATCTTAATATAGTGTCTACGCTTTTAATAATTTATAGATATAATTTACTATCATTTTAATTAATACTCTTTTTCGATTAATTAGATACTTCTTTTTTTTAAAAAATTTGCTGTATAATTTTATCAATTATGAATTAAAATTTTATTATTATTATTGACTTGACACGAAAATAAATGTCATCTACTCGTGGTCGAAAAATTCATTGTCTTCTCAAAAAACGTCTTTCGACTCTTTCTAAAAATTCGATAGCCATAAGAATTACGTATTCGTCAACCATTTTCACTTTCGTGTAGCGATTTCACATGCTCGACTCAACGTGAGTAGCAACTCGCATGGTGAGATGGGAAAGCGCGAGTTAGAACTCGAGACTACCAATTTGACGTCAGTGTGAGAGATGGTACCACGTGACACCTTCAACACGTTGGGAGTTGTTACACGAAAAACTCGAGACTAAGGGCCCTGGATGGGGTAGTGCACACTTGTTTACGTAATGTCGACGTAAGTTTCCAGTGTTATTGTCAGATGAAAAAAGGTGACGTTAAATTGACGTAAAAATGTACACTATCGCAACAAATCTAACAGACCCAATGTCAGATGAGCTGCTTTCCCAGTGATTCCGGCATATTTGGGGTGGTTTAACAATGCGCTGTTTAATTTACATATCTAACAGCACGTTACGTTAGTGGCATTAATAAAATTTACTACTAAAATAACTGAAATTTACAGAATTTTATTAAAAACAATTACAATAAAACATTTTATTACGTAACAGTACAATCCCAGGCAGCAGTTTTAGGCTACACAAGTCACAATTTTATATTACGTAGAATAAACAATTGGAATTGTTAATTATTAATCAATCGGTTATTCGAACCAAGAAAAAATTAAGAACGGAAGTTACAGCAAACACGAGAAATGAAGATTCCTCTGGTTCTTAAATAACTCCTACTCGAGCGTAGTACCAAATTCTGCAAATAAAAAAACCCCATTAAAATGTAATAAATGGTAAATTATATACAAAAGATATTCTGAATACTACCGGGAACAAAATCCTTCACAATATCAATGTACTCGAGATTGGTAAAGTGTGACAGCACATCCATTACTTCCTCGTTTTTGATATTTATATGGTAGTTTATCATCTTGATATCTTTGACAAATTGTAAAGAATGATATTGTACGAGTTTCTTAAGAATAGGTTTATACATCTCATCGATCTTAGAATCATCTGTTTAATAATGGAACAATTAGTTGCGCGTTAATGGAAGTGTACAGTACAATTGTTAAAATAATACCATACGTTCTTTGTAAGTTTCCAGCAAAATGCAAAGTTTAAGGAGGGAGTAAAACTTAGTTAATTCCTCCGTCTTGTAAGACATGATGAATTGTTTTATATACATAATAGAACTGTATAGATGATGAGCTTTCCAGTCGTTATCATTGAGTAACACGTCACCGAATTCGAAGGCTGCAAAATGCTTAAAATCGTCGAGAAACAATGCAAAATCCATTAAAACCATCTTCCACATGTGTAGATCTATTATTATCATCTGCAATTTTATTTCTGTGTTAATTTAGTGAAGTAGAACAATACAAAAATATATGAAAGTTTACTTACCAAAGTTTCTTCACAAATATTCTCCCAAGAAATATTGTTGATTACTAAATCTACATTTTCTATCATTAAGTGATTTATAATGAAAGATAATTTCTTCTCAGATAAATAGTCATAATAGTCACGGCTAAACAAGACCTGAAAAACACAGAAGCGGTGTTTAAAATGGAGGATTTTGCACAAAATTTTACACAGAACATACCTTGTTTGCTGCTTCTTTTAATATTGCCGATTTGTATGGAAAATTTATATTTATTTTTAGGGAATGTCGTGGAAGTATTCGTTTAATCAATATTGCCCTCCTCTTTAGCTGTTGTTTGTTAAGTCTAGGTCTTATAGCTGGAGGTTCTAAAAGGTTAAAAAGCCTTATTATTAATATTTTATACGACCAAAAGTTTATTTACATTAGATAAAACACTGAAATTTAATCATAACACTTACCTCGAGATGCAACATCAATAACTTTTAATCGAGACAAGTCAATCTCTCCTGGTTTGTATAATTCTGATACAGCGTTAACAGGGATGCTCATGTAATGAGGTCGATTTTTTAGAAGTACAGGTACTATAAAACAATAAAGAAATTGAGATTTATCCATGTAAAATACGAAGTAACAGTTCTACTTACTTCTGTACTCGTTTGAGACAATTTTGAACCAATCCATATGATCAGTGCAAATGATAACATTTTCAGATGTTTCTGGTTCGTCTAGAAGGAATTGATGAATGAAACTTCGTATTCCCAAATGTAAAATCTACAAAACTAGACACTACTTAGAAAAAAATTACACTTACTAGATTTTTCAGCTGCTTGCCTTACGTCTTGAATGGGAGTAACTTCCGATTTTGCGTCTGCTGTTTTCATCTCTCCTCCTGTCTTAACTGATTCGTCTCTCTTCTCAAATTCAGGCTCTGATCTCTCTTCGATGAGTACTGTTGCTTTTTCTTCGAAGCTTTCTCGCTTCTTTGGTTGAGATATTTCTTCAGGTGGTTTCTCCAATTTCTCTTCATCCTCCTCAATGCTTGATGTACTTTCCTCTTCTTCAGTCGATTTACTTTCCTCTTCTTCGGCCGATCTAGTTTCCTCCTCCGCAACTGATCTAGTTTCCTCCTCCGCAACTGATCTAGTTTCCTCCTCCGCAACTGATCTAGTTTTCCTCCTCTTCGGCTGATTTACTTTCCTCTTCTTTAACAGAATCCTTTTGTATGTTTTCTAATTCAGCTTCCAGCAACTCTGCCTCCTTTTTTGTTTTTTCTTCCTGTATTTCCTGCTTGCCTGTGAATTTAGCAATATTTTGCTCTGTTATTTCCAAATTTTCATGCCGAGAAAATCTTTGAAGTAATGTCGTTTCCTCAAAAAATTCTTCTACAACTTCCCTCATTTTTGCTAACCTTTCCTCCCCGACTACGGGTTTTGTTAAAGCACCAAAGTCGGTTTCTTCCATTTCTGCAAGTTCATTCAGCTTTCTTACTCTTTCCTCTTCCCACTTATCATCTTTAAATACTTTAGGTGACTTTGAAAATCCAGGAAAGGTGAACCGATTGACAGGTTTTTGTGCTTCCATATCAGACTGTTCGATTGATTGCTTCTTCTGGTCTTCCATCTTCGAGTCTAAAGTATCTGCTGGAGGGGATGATGCCAAGGGTTTGTCGCCTGGAGAAAGTGTAGTCGTTTCTTTCAGTTTATTTTGTATCATGTCTTCAAGTTTTGCAACTGTTTCTTGTAGTTTTCGCTCTTTTTCTTTTATATTTCTAATCTCCTCTTCATTGGATTCAGTAGATTCTTCTTTCATCTCTTTTTTCTTTACTAGTTCTATCATTACTTTCATTAGTTCCAATCTATTCATTATGCAGTCATTCTGAAGTTTTTTCAGATCTTCTGTATCTTCCACTGCTTCAGTTTCCTCTTCGTGACTTGAAAAAGACGACGACAAATCCCGTTTTTCCTGCCCAGCTATTTCTATTTCTTTTGTAAGCTTAGTAATATCGTCTCTTAAAGTTTCTTCTGTTTCTTCCAGATGTCTAATTTCCTTTTCTAATTCATCAGATTCAGCCATTTCTCCTAATTTTATTCTTTGTTCCTTTTGATTTAAGATTGCTAATAATACTTTTGAATGTTCGAGTCTCTTCATAAGCAATTTTGATCTCAAATCGCAGAAATTTAATAAAGAAGAAGAACCTTTTGGTTCTTCACCTTCACCAGGTTTGATTATCATTCCTTCAGTTTCTTCTTCAGCTAATTTCTTTTTTATCTTCATACCTGAAGGTGAACTAGAGACACAGACAATATCTTCTAGTTTTTCAGCGAGTTCGTTCATTTCTCCTATACTTTCATAAACTTTTTCTACAATTGCTGAAGGTTTAGTTTTAGCTTCTTTTGACCCTGTTTTTAGTTTCCTTTGCTGTTCTTTCAAACTTAACAAGGTTTTGGTAAGGGATAATTTCTCTTCAGTTAATTCTAGTATTTCTTTAAAAGAAGTTAGCATCAAATGTCTGGAACTTAGAGATGCTGAAGAGATGTCTACTGCTTCTTTATACATGGCAACGGCTGATTCCTCTTTTGGTTCAATGACTTTGCTTTCAGCTGGTTTAATTTCTTCAACTCTTCTGTCTGATTCCTGTTTGCTAGATTTCTCTCTCTTTCCTTCAAATTGTTCTTGTCCTTTAATTGATTTTCTAGGAGATTGAGAAGAGGAACTCTTTTCCATTTTCTGCTCTTTAGAGCGCCTAGTGTCTTTCTTTGATTTCTGTCGCTTTTTCTCTTCAGCAGCTACTCCTTCCCCTTCACCCTGTTTACCTTTTACTTCTTTCCCTTTAGATGATCTCTTATCTTTTCTCTTACTCGCATCATACTCTTCGTCAGATGGAGGAGGTGCCATAATAAAAAATTTAGTTTCCTACATTAAAAATAATTAAGTGGTTTAAACTATTGTAAAAATAAAAGCACAATAATATAAATTATTAAAGAACACTGAAAACTTCAGGTTTCATGAGGTGGGGAATTTCTAAAGCAATACAATTTCTTACACACTCAAAGAAACTTCTTGAAATTCGAATTTAAGCAAGTATTCAGTGAAATTTTCATAGGAATTTTAATATAACTCATGAAATTAATGTTAAATTCGCAAGAAATCTAATTGTTTTTTACTTACTTTAACTCTTGAACACTACGAAATCAACAGCAAAGTGTACCTCGTCCCAGCTTGATGGTGAAACTCGTTTGCATATTTTTACGTGTAATCTCATAATAAAATTTTTAAATGAAATAATTTCTTTTACGATTTAAAATCTGTATTTTAATATTGTTTAAAAAGTATTGTAAATGCTGGTATATATTTTATAATTAATTATTTTAATTTAACAAGTAAATAAATTTGAATATGTAAAACAGAATGTTTAATTGTTAAAGGTGAATAATTTTGTAATGGTTACTTTTATGAATGAAAAATATTTAAAGATAATATTTTAATAATAGTGTTTTATTATAAATATGATCTTGTAATTTAAATAAATTAATTTGCATTAGTGATGTGGCTGTTGTAACATATTTGATTACTCAGGAAGACAGATGATCGTGGATTTTCTGGAGGATTAGGGTTTGATTCTGGGTTTGGACCTCAGGAAATCAAGATATATTCTAGGAAAAAGGAAGGAGATTAGATAGTTTGGACTGATCTGCTAAAAAGCGTATGTTCAAGGTAGTTTGCGGTTATACTTTACATGCCCACCAGTACTTCAGTACATTAAATCATTGAACAATAATGGTTACGGGTTTAATCTCGAACATCAGAATGTCCTCGTAAAGTTTTCAGATTTGTACATTTATTTAACCTGTAATAGGGGCTAATTTTACACATAAAATCCCTCGTGATCTTTCCTTGTTGGTAGATCCACCCTCGTGTTGTGTTGCCTTATTCAACAACAAGAACATATTTTTGTCTGAAGATTTTTGATGATAAGTAAAGTGTTTGCACATCTTTGATTTCGATTGTTGTTGTTCTTTTTAACTTATATTTAGGTTTTCTGACAAATGAGAAATATGGTATTTCTATCGCTTAAGTATATTTTACTCGACTTTACGTCTGTCCGCCACAAATATTGAAGTCGTAATATCACTAGAAAAACGTTTAAAGCACATAAAATCATATTAAAATATATACAAGTATGTACTGTATTTACAGTACACGCATTCGTGAATTTAGATTACTTTTTTTCTGTACCATATTAAAAAACTAAAATTTATTTGTTTGTAAGCTTAAAATAGATTTTTATTAACCATATATTATTAAAAATGCATTAATAGATAAAATACAGAACCGGGAATGGTAATTTACGGTTTAGCCTAGTGATAAGTAGATTCGGAGACAAGTAAATTCGACTTACGTCGTTCTCCTGGAACCAATTACCGACGTAAGGCGAGGTATATCTGTATTTTTTTTTTTTTTTTTTTGACGGTTAAGAATTTTTCTTTATGTCTTCATTACTTACAAGGCGACAATTTTGTTTTCAAAGAAATGATACATTTATTTCCAAATTTTGTCATTGTAGACACATAAATTTCCACTGTCTTAATCTTGAGAACGGAATTATATGAAATCCGAGACCAGATGTGGAAACCTTAGGCACAGGAGGCCCCAACTTCGTATGAACTGCCCATGCAGACCGGAAGTCTCGTTTTTTTCAATTCAAAATCTCCCGAAAGCAGTTAATAGATGACCGGCACGACTCTTAATGTTAAAGGAAAAGTATGATGTACAGGGGAAGCCACTATTAATATGAGGTAGAAAGCACGTTTTAAATTAAATGATTTAAAAATATAATTAAAAATTGCAACCCGGCACTGTGACGGTGTCACAATAAACAATTGTTCGTAGTTATTGTGAGATCTGAATAGACCCTGTGACTAATTAATAATTTAATTATAAAGTTAAATTTCTAGTGGAAAATATTCTTTAATTTTGGTGAGAAAATATCGTTTTTATAAACGTGGGAAATTGATAAAATGTCACTTCCTTTAACGGAAGTTGAAACATCCTTTTGTTTTATCCTTATCTACTAACAATCTCAGCACCCTGGGAACTGTCGACCCCACAATAAATCCCCTTTTCCTCTGTTCACGTGAGAGAATCCAAAATGTTGATTGGATGAAAATCAAGAGAAATAGAAAGTTTTGCAGGATTCGGGGAGTACGCCACGAAATTCCATAGAAGGAAGACGTATTCCATATTGGCTCCCTAAGGCCAACGTCCTTAGGAGTACACCTGAAGATCTCATAGAAGACAGACGTATTCCATACCGCATCCCTAAGGCCTACGCCCATAGTCATATCCAGCAGAAGTTAATAATGAGTTCAAGTTAGTAAGATAAGAAGAAAAGTTTTATTAGGTGCCATTCAAGACCTTACCACGAGCTGAAGTATATGAACTGCAGGAATTAATGTATAAATAAATTAAAGATAAAGAAGAAGAGGTAGTATGATCGTAATAGAAAATTGTGAGCTCTCTCTCTCGAAACTTTTAGATTAATTATTTCATTGTGTATAGTTTTATTCATTTGTCTTATTAAATTTAGTTATATTATTGTTAAAGGAATGTCTCAAGTGTCTGAATCAAACCTCTTCCCTCTACGAAGCATAACGCGTATTAATCCGCGTATCTAAATTTGATTAACTGGTGTCGGGAATCCTGACGAGGAAACGAGCGATTGTGAAATCCTCTAGTCCCGCTTTAAATTAATCTTCAAATTGTAAATCCCTCCGCACTCGACTTTCTTCGAATAGAAAACCATCCTTTTAGACAAACAGAGGACTATTCTAAAGAATAGTTGCCAGTTAAGTGATACTACGGTCATAGTTACTCAGTATCCACGGCAAGCCCCTCACATTATAGTTTGTTTGTGAAAACTTTAGTTTCAACTTGTAAAAATATTTACAATGACAAACTACATTTTGTAGTGTTATGAATCACAATATTGAAAGTTAAAATCCTTCTAAGAAGTAATAAGGAGTTAATAATTGTGAGAAATGGAAGAAGTGTTGCATTTGACCATCAAAAATAGACAAAGAAAACATGCCGGTAAGTGCAAGAGACTGATACGTAGAAACTACACAATTAAGATGTGTACGAATTGTGCATTATACCCATCGTTGTGGATAACAAAAGTATATTAAGACGAACTATCCTTTTGTTCGTTAGGCTATAGACAACTTTAGACACTAAAGCCGAGAGCCCGAACAGGGATTGGAAAATTACCAATCCGAAATGCATTTGTGAGATCCGCGATTTTTACGCCGATGTGGAAAAAATAATCTTTGTAAACAACTCCGATGAAAAAACCACTCTTGGTGAGAAGTATATCGGAGGTCACCGATTGTTTTCACACTTAGGTGGAAAAGTTGATAGTTAGTTGATCGGAAATCACCGTAAGTGTCAACAGAAGTCGATCACGTGACTCGTTTCCCACGAATAACGTATAAAACCTCGAGTCCCCGGAAACTCCGGCGCGACCGAAGGAAGTTATACTTGTAACTGTGCATATTCCGGACCGAAAGGACATACGACCGACCACAATCACAGCCATTTGAGCTTCCATGATTATCGCTATTCTATCGTTCCTGCGCCGATTACGAGTCTTACGGACATTCAACGAACGCATATTAGACATATCCTCATAGAAGTATTTGTATTTTTAGAGCTTTATGAACTCTCTCTCTCCGTTAAAGCTATTAGAGCGTCCCCTTTTGTATAGTGAAAGTATTTAATCGCATTTAACCTATGTATCCTAGCTTAGTTATATAAATAAATGCTTGTTTAGTTTGTTAAACCTGTCTCCTGTCTCTAAACGGTACCTGCCGACTTACCGACGCACTCCCCACTCACTTTTTGCCCTCCTAGCCATCCGACAAATCAGAGATCGGGTTCTACCAACCTGTTGCAGAGTAAGTGGTCGGGGATTAGCCCAGTGGCCCGCTGCATATCTCACACATTATTAAATAGGCGAAATAAAGACAACTGTTTTAATCTCGGTCTCTGTTAATTATGCATAACTAGCTTTTACCCGCGACTTGCAAGCAAACACCATTTATATTCAGTATTTCAACAACCATAGTAATTGTTATATAACACCTACCTCTGAGAATCAAACGAACTGTTTTTAATTTGATCAATTTTCTGGAACGTTTACAATCGTTCTATAGTCGAATCAATATGCAATAACAAATTAGAATTTAAAACGGTTCGAACATTTGGTTAAAAAATCGAAATATATAGAAATATTTATAACAATGTCTGAAATGTTATCAATTTAATACACCTAAGTACTCAATGAAGACTAAACGTAGTTGAAAACAAAAAATCGCATCTCAAACAGTACAGTAGAAGCCGTTCTTCAGGTTAAGCTTTCCCTCTCCTCCCGCGGAGGGAATTTCGAAAAATCCCTTCTTAGTGTGCGTTTTCATAACGTACCCTAACTGTGTATCAAATTTCTACTCTAGGTTCAGCGGTTTGCTCTGGGCGATGATGACTCAATCACTCAGTCAGGACAAATAATTTTATACATTTAGATTAAGAAAGACATGATAAATATTAGGCTACTAGTCTCACTATTGAAAGAAGAAACCTTTACTTATAACTTTTTATACGCACTCTGGGCCTGACGAAATAGTCTGTTTCCTCGAAATGAACTACCGTCCTTCTCCCAGTAGCGTAGCGTAGTGGGGGCGGCAGGGGCGGCACTTTTTAGGATGCGGCAAAATTACGTTTTAGGGGGCTGCAAAATTTCACAATAAATAATAATATCTTGTAAGAATTTGAAACATTTTATTTCATATCTTCGTCCACCTACGATTCGGACCGATTGAAATGAGCACGGAATAGTGTTATCATCCGGACAGTCCGGGAATCGATTCGCCGTCCGGGGTTATCGTGCGCAACCTGTCGACCTTTTTTTTTTCTCGTACGATTTATTCGTATATATACACATCCAATATCCAATAGAGCTAGGTCACTTGCGTTACTCCTATCCAAGTCTATCTAGTCGCTAACTGTAACTGACCAGCATATACTGCACATTATTCTTTGCATTGCAAAATGACATTCCGTCAGGAACTTCTGTTCGAACAAACCTCATCTGCCGTCCGGGTCAGCGATTTTAATAAGGTGGCAACACTAGAACGGAATTTTTCATTACTTATTATGTGACGAAACTGAATTTTAGTCTTTTAAATTGAGATACCTAAATAAGGGGGGGGGCGAAATTTTCCTCCGCCCCGGGCGGCTGACACCCACGCTACGCCACTGCCTTCTCCCGAAGGCTTTGTAGATTTCTAACCTTACAAGTTGTTTCGGCCGAGACACTATTATCTCTCGATGGCGTCTTTTTCATTTATAAGCAGCGAGGAAATTGTAGGGGTTTTCTAAAACTCTACAATTATTTTACTCCTTAGAATTCTGTGCTAATTACATAGGGCTATCTCCTTATAGATGAAAAAGTGGACTTTGTCGTATGTGACTACCACACCGACTGTAACATTCGGAAAGGGTAGATATCTACTGACTGTTCGGGATAAGGACGGTATCAATATCGATAATCCATTTATATGTTACTATAGATCTATAATCTTACAATTTAGCAAAATCGCTGTAAAGGGAATTGCCGTGAATTTTGATGTTAGAAACAATAATGTAACAGAATTTTGTTTCCAGTCAGTATTGTAAACAATAATAAATATACCATAACAGTCACGTTCGAGACTTTTTAAGCATCAAAAGAAATGTCATTTACTCACGTAAAAGTATTCAGTACTATAGAGGCGGATCTAGGTTTTTCCTGGTCTAGGGCTTATTGAAATTTAATGGGACCCCATCTTATAATATAATCGAAATGGGTTGATAATGATAATAATAATAAGCGCAGAGTCCAAACGGTTAGGAGTTGAAAGTTAAAATTTGGTACACAGTTAAGGTACAGTATGTCACTAAGAAGGTACCGGCGCGGGACCGGCCGATTCCCTTTCATTGACAGCGTAATGCTTTCAGATATGGCGTTCCGCACGCCAATCGCTGCCATTTATTCTACAATACGGGTTACAAAGAGTGGTTTCACTACAAAAAAATTCAATGCCGGTTGAGGGGATCGAATTCGTGACTCGTGTTTCCACATCGGCGCTGCCACTGCCAGAGCCGCAAGTTCACCCATAGGCGATATTAGGAAACACGCAACGGACGGAGTTTGGAACGATCGTTCCGCCATCTTTGACGATCAATATTGTCAATTTTCTTGTGAATATACGTCACTGCAATACGTCGTGGAATACTGCGTTTCATCTTCCACATCAGATCATCAGCTCGGGATTGACGATATGATGGTGCGCGCTTTTGTTGTTTTCTTTTGTGCTGTTTGATCACGAGTGCATCATACGGAAATATATGATATTGTTACGATACTGACGGTATCCATCACAATGTATATTCCTTACATCCTACCTCTTCTCGATGGAAGCTTGCACCTCTTGCTACTGGTTTGGACTCCACGGCCCTAGACGTTATATATGGGCGAAATATGGTACAGTTACCCTATATTAAATGTGCAATAAAGTATATGTTTTGTTATATTTTTTGTTCCCCCTTTTCAATTTTAAAAATATTCGATAGTTTCGCGAATAATTCATTAAATATCCGATACATATCGAATGCTTTATGTCTCATTCGATGTTGCTATCGATTACATTACGACTATCGCTCATCACTACTCCAGATACTTAAATATTGGTCGCGTGACTTTCTTCTCATCTCGAATTTATAATAAACAATCTTTGTATTGGGCAATGTTATCTCGAAAACCTTCTTCTCGTTGGTTTCAATATCAGACTACTGGGGATTAGCGAACAGTGTTTCTGACGACAAGGTCAAACTCACCGGTTTAACCTTGTGCGTTTATGCATCAGAAATAATGGATATGTAAATATCTGCAAATTACGAAGTCGGTAAAGCTCGATAACTGTTCAGATCGTTGAGTTTTATGCATGCAGCCTTATAACTGCGGTGCAAAAGAATTTTTTTTTTTTTTTAATTTTAAAGATTTTTGAAGTAATAACTTTAAACAAAGGAAAAGCTATTTGACGAGTTCGTAATTATAATATTTAAAGCAGCGTATGATCTACACCCTCTTTTCAAATTGCCTTTTAAATACAGATTAACCACGGATTATCCGCATAAAATTACAGTGCATACAGAATAATATTGGAGAGTACAAATAGGAATATTTTAGTTTCTGTGTCCTTTTTCTGTACATCTTAACACTAGTATTTTTACTGTCTACAAAACTCCAAGATAACTCTAAAACTTTCGTGTAATTAATGAAATTGTGTGCTAGCTGCAGTACAGATATTGTATGTATATAATATATTTGAGGAAACCGATTACATGATCAAGTACTTCTGTTATAATTTTAGAACTTTTAATTAGTCAGTTAACTAAACAAACGTTTTTTCAATTTTGCTTCTTTGTCAAAATAATTACTTTTTTAATGTCGCCCCCCTGAAAAGTAGACAATAACGTTTATTGGTATTTCTACTTAAATTTTATTTAATAACATGTATAGTTACAGTAAATCAATTACCAATACCACTATCAGGCCTACTGAAGAAGTAATTTAGATATAGACTAATCCTAGTTGCCATTATTTAATTATAGAATTTTAAATCAAACTCTAAATGGAAACGTAATCACTTTGTAAAACCGTAATAAAACTATAAATTATTTTGAATCACGAACACTTCTACTTTTAAAAATAGATTTTTTTTTTCACTTGACATCATTACATTCATTTCTAGTGCCTTAAAATTTCATTGTAAAATTTACAATTCATTATCAACAATCGTTAAAAATTATTTCATCCATAAGTTACGTTCTTCTTCCTGTTCTTCGGATTCGGATTGGCCACAATAAGCACTTATCTGCTGAAAAGTACAACTATTGCGGCAACATTCGTCTACCACTCCTCTCTTCTTTCGATCAGAAAAAACAGCTGGAACATTCTGAAGTGGATATCGGTATGATCTGGACACGAGATTCCAATAAGGATCTAGAAATTTAATGAACAGAGAATTTATTTTAAGAAACCGGCAAGAACAATACATTTCCACTTACTTGATAAATCATGATAGGTAGAGATAAATCGTCTGCTATGAGGATTATAATAAGTTCCGTTGCAAATTAATCTGAGTACATCAGCTAACTGGGAACCACAGACTTGTATTCTTCTGCGATAGAACGTTCTTTGTTGCAAAGATGACGAAATTGAAGCGTTCGCCAGAAACACGAACAGGTAAAAAGAAAGAACAACTATGGGAAAAACCTAAGAAATGTTTGAAATAGTATTCAGTTTAACCGAATTTCTTTACCCAAAATTTTCCCACAAAAAATGAAATCAAAATGGTAGTTTTACTCACTTCTAGCTTCATTTCTATCGCAGCGTTTTTCTCCAAAGAGTGCTATATTTAGTAGGAATCTTTCTTTATATACTATTGCATTAGTAATACTCGCCTACTTCTTATTAATCTGGCAGATTAGTAAGAAATAGACGAGTGATGTCGATTCCAGCAGTGGTTTTAGACGGATTTTCAAAGAAGAAAAATTTTATTTTCGGGATTAAAAGCCGTTCCTTTAATCTCTATTAAACAAGCAGATTAAGCGACGTAAACAGTTCGTTAAAAATAATGGATAAATGAGACTTTTAATAAGGCGTTAATAATGTTTATCAGGTTAAAAGGATTAATTAATACTAAAATACATTTCAAAATATTTGTTTAAATGTAATTATTGACCTAGTGGAATACTTAGATGGTTACGTCGCTCTTCGTTTATACTTGACAAAGTAAATACGTTCAAGGCTATCATTATAATTTGATCACTTAAACATACATTAGAATAATAACAGTATAGTCAAACCTCGGTTTTTGAACTTAATTCGTTCCTAAAAGTTGTTCTTAAACCGAAACAAATTTTTCCATAGGAAACAATATAAAATGGATTAATAGTTGTTGAGTGCTTTCTGATTCCAGTGTTGGATCGGTGAGAGTCTTGATATAATTGGAATGTAAATATTGTTTATTAATCGATGAAATTTTATATCAACAACAACTACAACAAATTACTTAACGGCTTTACTTCGATGTTACAGTATTATTCTGTTTCTAAGACCTAAAAATTCCACAAATTTTATCAATTCAATATTTAAAAAATTCAGCAAGGAGTTGCGTAACTTTTCCAGCGAAAAATATGTTTAAGAAACAGCAAAGTTTAAAATGGTGTGCGGCGCCATCTGTTATGTGATTTTATTACAAAAAATAACTTCTGTATTATTTCAGTAGAGCGTCGTTTATCCGAAAGCCGGTTATCCGAAAGAATTCCAGTTGGCATATTTAAATTTTCGCTAGTGCTGTGGCGCTGCAATCTTTGGCTATATCTTGGGCTACTCAAATATTTTACGTTTTTGATACTAAATTAACTTTTGAAGTATAATTTTTTTATTGTTTTTATATTTTTAAATATATTTATTTTGTTTGTACAAAATAAAAAAATAATTTTTAACGATATAATAGCCACGATTGTTATTTTAAAAAGTTTATGTTAGGCTTAACATCGACGAAAATTCAACGTGAAGCGACACGCAACGGAGAAAAATTTCAACACGGGATAGGTTAATATATTTTTTCGTACATGATCGGTTATCCGAAAAACAAGTTATCCGAACAACCCCAGTCCCCAATTGATTCGGATAAACGACGCTCTACTGTAATTATAATAAAAAGGAAGGGCTTAATTTTGACGGTGGAGATAAGCTTTTAAAAATATTGTAAATGCCAATAATGACTAAATCGTCACTGACGTCACGCGAAAATGATGGCATCGAGTCAGTAGCGTAGCGTAGTGGGGGCGGCAGGGGCGGCCCGCCCCTGAAGACACTTTTTAAGGTGCAGCAAAATTACGTTTTAGGAGGCGGCGAAATTTCATAATAAATAATAATAATATCTTGTAAGAATTTGAAACATTTATATTCATATTTTCGTCCACCTACGACTCGGACCGATTGAAATGAGCACGGAATAGTGTTACCATCCACCCGGATAGTCCGGGAGTCGACTCGATGTCCGGAGATATCGTGCGCGACCTGTTGACCTTTTTTTTGCTTTTACGATTTATTCGTATATATATATATACACCTCCAATATCCAATATAGCTAGGTCACTTGCGTTACTCCTATCCAAGTCTATTTAGTCGCTAACTGTAACTGACCAGCAGTAGAGGAGAAAGTGGTATTATGGAACACTGCGGGTATTATGGAACCACCCCATTTCGAACTGATAATAAAGGCGAACTGCAGCGGAATATGGCTGAACTGAACTAGGCAGACATCTATAGCAAGGGGAAAACCCGTTTTACTTCAGTTAAACAGTTGTTCGCATTTAATCAGCAAATTTGTTTTTTTCAAAATTCGCAAGTTTTGAATGCTAAGTGAATTTAATTATTTTTAAAATATAAATCGTGAAGTTGTAGGTTCACTGGTGCATGTATTCCGTTCCAGAGACTTAGGGGTACATATTAATCTGTGTGATGTTCACGTTTTTTAAATTTTGGTCTCGACAGACATAAGTTAATTCGAGATGGCGATGCGTGAAATACGGACCCCATTGGTGCTTTTACAGTAATATGGAACTCAACTCCTCCGAACTTTCTATTTGCAAGCAGACATTCCTCCAGAGCAATTTGTGAAAAAGACACTAGGTAGAAAGCCAATTCTTCCCGAGAATATCGAAAAAGAGCTGCTGGAATATATATTGTTGATGGAGGTCATATTTTTCTATTATAAAAGCATTTTTGCGATAAAATACATTGGAGTAAATAATTTGGTAATTATTTAACATTTTTTGTCCTTTCCTATTTGTTTTTGGCTACATTAAAGCATTTTTTTGAAAATATACAGTAAGGTTCCATATTACCACCCGATTTTCTCTAAGCCTACTTTCGGACTTTTTGTACAAATGCCTTCAAAAACCATACTTATAACTACACTAGCGAAAAATCCAATTAGGAACACTTAGTTTACTAGTTACCAGTACTTTTCGCACAGAAAATGTGGGTGTAGTTATGATACCTTGTTTACAATTCACTAAAATGTAATTGGGGTTCCATAATACCACCTTCTCCTCTACTGCACATTATTCTTTGCATTGCAAAATGACATTCCGTCAGGAACTTCTATTCGAACAAACCTCACCTGCCGTCCGGGTCAACGATTTTAATAAGGTCACAACACTAGAACGGAATTTTTCATTACTTATTTTGTGACGAAACTGAATTTTAGTCTTTTAAATTGAGATACCTAAATAAGGGGGGCGAAATTTTCCTCCGCCCCGGGCGGCTGACATCCACGGTACGCCACTGCATCGAGTGGCTTTAATAAACAAGTACTGTATTCAAATAACGGAGTACTGGATTACCTGTGTAATAATTATATGTACTCATTACCCGAGTAAATCATGTATTCGAGTATTGGAGTATTTTCTGATAATGCTAAACTATGAACATCGTTTTGTATCCGTGAATTCGTGTATTCTGTTAAAAACAAACATTCCTTTTTCAGCATTATAGTATTAGAAAATTTAGTAAACTGTTGAAAACGTTGTGACACTAGCTTATAGTTGCATGTTACTGCTTAAAGAATATCGTCATTTACTCTTCTCTCACATTTTATAGATATAAGATACCGGAAATGAAATCTTATTGTACTCGGGAGAGAAATTATATAAACTTGACCAGTTTCAATGATGATATAGTATTAAACCAGGAACACACATGCGTAAAATTCGGCGTAAAATCTTACATAAAACAGAAAACGTAACATTACTGAAAACAGAGTAAAGTATGTCTCTACTTTTTACGCGCCTAAAATTTTTATGCCAAAATTCCTCCAATAAAGAGAAGTCTTTTTTTGTATGCCAAAGTAAACACGTAGTTTTTATTCCAATAATGGAGGCAATGGAGGTTAGCCCTACAATTGTATTCGAATAATTCTGGTGACATTCTCAGAAATCTGAAGATTTTTAAATTTTGAAATAACCTCAAAAAACGATATGAAAAAAAGTACAATTCATTTACTGTATATAGTATTCTCGATCGTTAAATTGCAGTTCCGTAATCAACGAATTATTAAATCCATGTAAATCACGCTCTCGAAAGTTTCCTAACCCACCAGCATCTCTTTTGGCGTTTTTTTAATAAAATCATTTCTTAAAATCAATGTTTGAGTAGAATACAGCCACCAACAAATAACAACATCAGATACCGAGGGAGCCATTTTACTAAACTATATATGACGTTGTTACATTTCCGTTTCCTATTCGGTCAGAATTTTTATGTATGTGTGTTCTGACATAAAAGCGTAAAACAGAAACTGAACCGAAAGCTGGTTTCTGATTCAGTTTTTTGCCACACAATTTTAGGCATGTGTGTTATTGGCCTTATGGACGAACAGTGCCATGGCAAACAGTTTATTATCGCCAAAATTCCCGGAATTTTCAAATTTCAATAAATCAAATAAAATGGCAATTCAATAATATGATTTAAAATGTCCGATTTTTTATTAGCTTTTTAAATTCAGTATCAAAAATTTTCATGTTCTTGATAAATTATAGAATCGAATACTTTTTTCAATGATGTTCTTCTTCCTATATAAAACATATTATTTTCAATAATAATTAAATTTAACAAATACTAATTTTCATAACAAATGTTTTTCAAACTTCAAACACTGATAATTGAAAACAACATAAGATTATTTTCTCCATTTTATTTAGATATTCTATTTCAAATTTATTCCCAAAACTTCTATAGACTTTCGTATTTTTTAAGGCTAATGCTAACAAAATAGAACTCGTCGTACTAAAGACTTGTTTACGAGGACAAGTACTGTACAAGAGGAACGATGATAAGTGAATTGTTGGAGTACAGCAAATTTTAATGAAATTATTTGAGTAATTGAAAAAGACGGAACACTAAAAATAAAACAATTCAATTCATTAATTAACAAGTTAATAAATCCAATTCTTTGGATAGAAAGGCTAACAATGGAAATGAAGATTCTGCTTATCCACCAAAGAATAAAATTGAAGTTTAATTAAATTTTATACAGTCGACCCCCCTATAACGCGGGTTCCTATAACGGAAATTCCTATAACTTAGCGAAAAAATTGCGGCAGTATTCGTATAAAGGGACTCGTAAAACGTCGTCGCCGACTCGTGTCGGGACAAGATTGGTCGAATCTGGACCAATAGTGGATGAGCAGCCGAACTATTTTCCGCCGTCCAACGCCACGCTATTTGCTATCGTCTGTACAGTATTATATATAAATTAGGTACTGTATATATAATTATATATTAACTTAATTTATTGTAACTTTATTATAATTATATATATATATATACTTTCGGCCGTCCAGCGCCACGCTACGGAGAGTTTAGGCGAGTAAGTTGAGTTTACTATCGTCTGTACAGTATGTAAATTAGGTACCGTAAGTCTAACACAGCACTAATTTTATACATTTCTTGTGAAAGAAACATTTCTTATTCAACGGCCATAAAAATTATTTCTATTAATGATGTCTCCAAATGTCAACGAATTTTTCGCAGAAAAATAATTTATCAGAAAACGCGGCCGCCTTTTGGTGCGCTGCTCCGCGACGAAAACAAGCGTAAGCAACGGCGTAGTCGAACGGTGCACACACTCGGTAAGTAGTCCTACAATTTTTTTGTTTATAGAATCGTTTATACGGATTATTCCCAAAAAATTATACGTGTTTTGGAAATGTTGAGTCGAATTAGTCTAGAATCGACTAATTTTATGGAAGAAAACCTTTCAAACAGCCGTAGTCCGTAAACTTCACACGTGTCAGGCTGCGATTGGCTCATGTATTTAAGTATTCCTACAACGTGAAATTCGAATAACGTGGAACGTATCTAAGCGTTATAGGGGGGTCTACTGTAATGATGTGACGCACACAAAAAATACCGATATTAAATACATAAAAAAATGTATTAAAATATTCTTCAAAACGAATCATTTACATATAATAACTGTCTGATTGAGTTTATTTGAAGCGTTGTTTGAAATTACATATCAAACAGAAGTATTAAATTTATCGCTATCAGTTTTAAACTTGAAATAAATTCAAAACTGTATTGATTATACTCGTATAATACAAATACCAATTCTAGAGAAAAAAATCTTTTACCTTTAATTTATCGATTGGGGATAGAATTTCTTCAAGATCGAAAATAGGTTTATCCTCATCGATAAATGATAGATGCCAGTCTTCAAACACGTCTGATCCAGAAGGAAATGAAGTATGCTTTTCTTCGTTTAATAACGAATCATCACGTTTTATATCTGTAACGTTCGAATTGTTGCTATCGTTGTCATTTACATCAAAAGACTTTTCAGTTTTTAAATTTTCTATCTTCTCAACATTGAGGTAATTACTCTCTGTATCAGATATTGCGCTATGATTTTCAGAAACAAAACTTCCTGAATTATTTATATCGTCTTGATTTGCAATGGCGTTGTGGTCGAATATTTTATTCTGGATTTGATTTGTTGATGAAAACATTACGTCGTCATATATATATGTACTTTTGTCTGTAATATTCTCTTTTTGATACTGATCTTGTAAACATTTTCCTAGTGAAATTATCTCAAGATTTTCTGTAAATATTTCAGTGATATTAGTCAATGATTCTTCTTCCGTTAATTCTTCTGTTTCGGATATTTTCGAATTATTTTCTCCATCGTTTTTGTTTCCTATTCCTTCTGGAAGTTTCTTAATTATTTGATCATTTTGTAAATAATTTTCTGTTTTAATTATAGATTCGGCAGAAGTCTCCTGTAATTGAGTTTCTTTTATTTCGGATTGAATAATTGAAATATGTTCTACGCTAGGTTGATAAATAATCAAAGTTTCGTCGTGAAAAATGGCTCTCGCGTATTCTAAGGATTTCTTCGAAAATGTCTCGGCAGGTAGTTCAACCACTTTCTGAATTTTCTGAGTTGCTTCTTGACACAAAACATGATCGTTATCTGAATTTAGCCAGGCTAATAATTTATCTGTAGATTTAGATGATTGCGAATTGTCTTGTAACTTTCTTTTCAATTCGGAAAATAAATCGAATTTTGCATCGTTTCTTGTGCTGTGATTATTTTCTCTGTTGTAATAGAATAAAAGCAATATCAAAATTTTAAATAATTTTGTGAATTTCTAAACAAAATTATTTTATATATTTGTTGATCTAATATAAAATTTTAAACTTGAAAATTCATTACAAGTTTTAAGTTAATTTATTACTACTTTGAATAAAACTTCTAGAGTATATTATTTGGTATAATAAGAAAATACCAGTTCAGTCATTTTTTTTAAATAAAATTTATTTTCATAATCACAGCTTCTAGAACTTTTCCCACCTCCTAACCCTGATTTATTAAACTGTTATTAAAAATGCCAGAAGTCAATTTTGCAGTAGTTTTTATGAACCTATGCTAAACACACTTTTCACTCATATAATCCCCAATGTAGTAACTGAATAGAGCAATTTTCTGAAAAATTTGACGAAATTTTATACGCATTAAGTTTTAACTAAAATTGTTTTTAAAGAAATTAAAATTAGAACATTTTAAAACAGATAATAAAATGATGGTAAAGAAAGGTTTTAATAAATGATTATAATTGCATTGTTATTTTTGTAGTTTTCAATTATTCGACATTCTATAAAGGTTCTTTAAACTGTTTTTTAAAACAATTTATACATTAACTTTTTTAACGTAAATTTAAAAACTTTTCATATTCTTTCTGTCGTTATTTTGGGCATATTTAATACGGCAAATAGTATCTTCTATATTTATTAAATCGTATTAATCGATATTTAAAGTGAAAAATTTTGCTTTCCTTCTTTACAAATATTAACCATCGACCATTCGAATTAGATTATAACAGCATAATATAATTTAATTGTGATGACACTAATTCCAATTCAATACTTTAAAATTTATAAGACGAAACTACAGTATTTAAATTTATTATAATTTAATATAGTTTTTTGTGTGTGCTCATAGATACTTACTTATTGTTGTTCATTACCGTTCTTAATCGAAGTAGCCACGATTTCAACCCCATTACAGGATGCAACGTGTTCTAATTCCTCTATTCTTTATATGAGAACAATAATAAATCAATATATTAATATAACAATAGAATTAGAACTATTAGGAAGTAAAGTAATAATTGTTATAAATAATATTACTTAATACATTTTTTAAATTCTAGTTTTCACTGTAAACGAATCTTATTTCGTTAATTATAACTAACATACTATTCATTTTTATACACATTATTTATTTTATGATTAAATACCCTCGTATACTACTTTGATCAAAAAGTATCGGGAATGGTTCATATAAACTACAAATCGAGCAACGAGCGTGCATTAAATTTTATTTTCGCAATGGAATTACTACTACAAAACCGTTGGAAATGTTACAAAATGTTGCACCCTTTGTGACGATAGTCTATCAAAAAGAAAAGTTTTCTAGGGGTGCAAGATGTTCGAGAATAAATCACGCTCTGGTAGACCACACACTTCAATTGATGAACAACACATCCCACAAGTCAGAGATCTGAAACTCAGTGATTGTCGTTTAACAATTCAGGCTATTACTGAACATGTTCCAGTATCACTTGGATCTTGCCGAGCAATTTTAAAAGATTATTTTGCTTGCGGCGCGTCACTTCTCGAGTTGTCTCAAAAACGTTGAATTTTTTCCAAAAACAACGTGTTCGAGAAGCCGAGGAAATATTTTCTCCAGGCGAATCGTTCTTAAAAAGCATCAATTACGGATGATGAAACATCCGTACGATCTACGCTTTAGACACCGAAATAACTCGAAAATCGAGTAAATTGAGCTCGAAAGATGAAGCGAGACCAAATAGACTAGGTCAAAGTCGGTCAAAAATCGAGATCGTGTTGACTGTATTCTTCAATTATCGTGATGTTGTGCACTACGAATTCCTTCCGACTGGCCAAACTGTCAACAAAGAATATTATTTGAGCGTTTTGCGTCATTTTCGTGAAGCAATTCGTAGAAAACGATCTCATTTTTGCAAGAAAATGCAGGGATTTTGCACCACAATGCACCTACTCGCAATGCTATTGACAATTTTTGGTAAAAAATTCAAAAAAATACGATTCCGCAAGCTCTGTATTATCTGATATGACACCGTGTGATTTTTTTTCTGTTTCCTCGATTAAAATTTCCGCTTCGTGGTCACCGTTTTGAGTAGATTATGCCATAAAACAAAATTTGCTGCGAGTCCCGAAGGAGTTTCACGAAAAGGACTTTAAAGCATTATTTCGGGATTTGTATAAGTACATTGCAGTCGGAGGGGACGGTTACTTTGAAGGAAACGAAATAATTTTGATGAATAAATTCAAATTTTGCGTTTTATTGAACCATTCCCGACAGTTTTTGATCACAAGGGTACAGGAGATCATACTTATTCATAAAGTCAATTTTCGAATGTAGTTTAGTATTAAACTAATACAAGTATATTAAGTACTAGAAAAAAACAACTAATTTTTAGGCAGTAAAGAATGGCATGAAATTTCAGGATAAATTTGTAAGTTAATATTTAAGATATTTTAAAACACTAATAAGTTATATAATTAATTACCGAATATCTTAATTTATATTTGGATAATTCTCGACAATTTGAACACAGTTAAAATGTTGATGTATGTACCTTTGGAATAATTGGTATAATTTTAGTGAAAAGTCATTTTTTATTTCCCCACATTTCAGTATTAATGATTAAAATCTTTGCACATGCATAACTGTATTCTTTTAAAATCCGTTTGTGCTGTTCCATTTTTCAAAATAATTTCATAATCATTGTTCTACGCTTGCACAGGTTCGAATCTAACTGATTTTTAATCCTGATGAAGACCGAAAGTACGGTCGAAAACGTTTATTATTAAATTGATTACTACTGGACGTTTAAAGGTTTTGGAGTGTTAATTTAAGTTAATTTAGTATTAATGATGATGATGATTATGATATTTAGATAAATAAGCAGTAAGAAAATGAAATCAACAAATTAAAGTTCGGGAAAACTAAAATTTGATTTTATAAAATGTATAAACCATATTGAGTCATTGTGGGGCATAATAAAAGATTTATGAGTATCTCTTATGCGACCCCCCACACAATTATGTTTTGATTAGCACTTAAAATTTCAGAAGTTAAAGATTGGCAAGAAAACCTCGTAATGAAGCGTATATAAAACAAGTTTTATTCATGCACGAAAATTAGAATATTACGAAGCAATAAATCCTTTCATACATGAAGGACATATGTAGTGCGCGTAAATGATAATTCGTGTACGTTAGAACACTATTTCATGGATGTTAAGTGTTCGCCCGTTTCAACTTTTTAAAGATTATCTTGGCAATAAAATCATAGTTCAATTCATGCATCCGACGTCAAAAAATTCGATACATTTGACTAAACAAGAAAAATTTCTTTTGACAGTCTCCAAGTACAGATAAAAAAATTTTGTCATTATTTCTACTACTGTACTTAAATGCCTTAAGAAATTTACCTAAATTATTATTATATAGTTAATCACATCTAGCATCAAGATGTAGAACATGACAGCACATCGCAGTTAAACGAAACACATTGATATATAAAATCTACGTTATAATAATTTCACAAAAAGTTTTAAAATATTTTTTCAAAATTTTTTATTTTGTTTCTTAATCTAACAAATGATAATCTTTTTATAAATCGAGTAATGTTTAAAGTCAGTGGCGGCCTTACGGGGTGGCGAGCAGGGCAATCGCCCGGGGCCTCGCGCAACAACCAAGTAGAAAAAAGTTGATATTTAAAACTTTTTATTTTATCCTTGGCTATTAGTTATAACAATAAAATAAATTTAATTTACAGTACAGTATATATTAATATTAATAAGTGCCTACTATTTCAATTCACATACTTTGCACAAAAAACAAGGGCCTCGCATACATCTGCCGCCCAGAGCCTCGCAATGGATAAGGCCGCCGCTGTTTAAAGTTGGATAGTAGTGGAATAATTACATGACACATAACCAAGCAAATTATAGCAAGTAAGTTTAGTTCCGTTTTAATCGCCGAAATATACCGAAAATTAAAAAAATAAATAAATAAAAATAATAACTGTAGTTACCAAATATACAATGTAATTTTCGTACCAATTCGTAAAAAATAACTTTTATAAATCATATAAAAGATAAATAAATAAACTTACTAACTAGTAAAAAAAGTAAAAATAAATTCCATTTCAAATCCTAAAATGTTTATTCATGCTTACAGCATTCTAAAATATTTTTTTAATGTGTAGCGTTGTGGTTAAATTATTTGCATCATCCACGAAATTTATTTTATATAAATAAATTTTATATAACTTTAGTATAAAATACAATTTAAACCTATAAAAACTTTATTTATAATTGTATTCAAAGATAAAATAAAAATTTTCATATTCAAAGAAATAAAACAGATATTACACAAAAACTACATTTTATTGAAATTTCAAAAATGTGCAGGCTATAAAATTTCGTACTCCATCTGACACGAATCAGTAACCGGAATCTGCAGCCTACAAAGTTTTTACAGTTTATTTTTGCAATCCCTTATTTGTAAAGAGAGATTTCTGTAGTTTTCGTGCCTCAAGGACAATAAAACCATTTTATCAAATTCAACACTTTACCCATATCCCTCAAAAGAAAGACCAGGCCTATTTGACTTTGTTCCATTGATAAAAATTTTCGTTACATAAGCTTTCAAAAGACAGACTTCATCAGAGTGCACATAAAATGATAAACGCATCTTATAGTCTCGTATTTTGTAATTTTTTTTAAATATATATATTTATATATATTTTTTATATATGTATATGTATGTATAGTTTGTGGCAAGATGTCTTTTGTGTTGCTATCACTTAAACAGCACTATGATTATTAAAGCATGCTGCTGAAATTGGGAGAGCAAAAGGAATATGTGTTTTCCTATTGATCACAAACTCCGTACTTGATGTAGTGCAGAAGACATGCCGAGTGTGGAGAAATTATTTGAAACAGACACCAGAAGTAACATTCATGTGATGGAATTCTGTTTTCCTCCACAAAGAATGGAGACAAAGTAGCTGCGATCAACAGTACACACTTCCCAAAATATTGAATATCTAAAGGTGTTTTAAGATATTTCAAGGATTCTTCCTATTTTGTACTATCTGAAATAAAAACAAATCATTAATAAATATGAAAATTTAACAAATTATATTATTTAATGCAACATTTATAAATTTGAGTAATATATACTTATGTGCTACATAGATGTCATATAAATATTCCCCTTTACTTTAATGTAGTACATAATAATTGATTAGAAAATTGACATTACATTAATAATATCATTAATGTACTGATCTCAAGTTAGTGTATAAATATATATATTGATATCATAGTATATAAAAATATTTCAATTATTAACATTGATCTAAAAATTTCCATCAAGTTTAAAAAATTTTTAATTTTTAGATTTTTCTGGAATTTACAATTGACAGATCAACAGCTAAAGATTTAATAGTTTTGCCAAAGCAAGCCAACACTATTTATCAGTGTTTATGAAACTGCTATTTGAACAGAAATAATACATAATGAAGATTGAATATTTTCAAATCTTGTGTCAGGCTCTTAAACGACAATATGATAGCAATATTATGATGCATTTTTTTCATTTTAGGCAATTAATTTATATATATATGGAAATGTGAGATGTACTGAAAAATACTTATTCACCTGCTATCAAGATTATCAGATTTCTTTTTTAAAGATATCAAACAGAAAAATCTGCTTCTGAATAACTGAAAAATATTATGTCAATGATTACTAAGAAAGAAACGCAATACATTTTAATTCTTTTATTTTATCATCTGTCTAAAAGTTATGCTCCTATGCTCTGACAATCAAAACACAAAATTCATTAAAATAGAAAGTATTCTATTCTGAACATTTCCAGTGACTATGATCCTTATAAAGTAATTAACAGTTCTCAAATGAATCTTTATCATCATTCATTTCTTGTTTTGTTATCAATTATCATATTTTATCCAAATAACTTTTAACTTGTTTTTATTTTCATAATACTAAAATTCTACATACAGTGGATGATCGATTAACAAACATAATCCGTTCCAAGACTTTGTTCGTTATCCAAATTGTTCGCTAATCGATTATCGATTTACCATAGGTTTTTATGGGAATTTGATTAATTCGTTCCGGAGATTCCAAAAAATAAAAAATATATACTTTTTTACTACGTTTATTTATATGTAATAGTAAAAATACATATATACGAAGTCTTGCATTTTTATTAGTCATGTTTTTTTCCATTTGTGGGGGTTAAAGAATCTGTCCAATGTCGATTGCTTTTCTCTTTTGTTCAGGATTTTTTGAAAGTAATTAATAGTATTGTAATTATAGAGATCCCCAACCCCATTAACCTTACTCTGGTTTGGATGCCATTTGGATGATCATTGTTCTGACATCCTCCCATTTCTTCAAAAGATCTTTAGTAGCAGATGTTGACATTGGTCCTCTTTAGTCTTCCTCTTTTTCAAAAGAAAACACATCTTGCTGAGTTTCTTGGTATTCTTTATTTGAGAGTTCTTGGAGTTCTTCTATAGTCAGATCAGTTTCAGGTTCCATTGTGAGCTCTAAAATGCTCTTTATTTCTCAGATGTGATTTTCATTACTTCATTAGCAGCTTAAGACTTCATGATATATCTTTCATAGCTAAGATTGTGCCTATTGTAGACCTGTTCAAGCCATACTGCCTAGTAACATCAAATATCTTGTGCACACTTTCTACCTTGGCTATTGTCTCTTACTTGGTTTCTATGGTGAACAGTTCTTGACACTCCTCTTTTTAGGCTCCATAATATTATCAGTTTCTTTTTTTAAATAAAAAGTTTAGAAAAGCACTTACAAAAATTCAGACAACAGAAATCAACTAGCCCACAAAAAATTATTTAAATGCAAGGCCTGGATAAAATTCGAAATTTGGTATTAAAACGTTAATGAATTTGGGAGATGGTTCGTTCAGATATATCTTGGTGTGGGAGTTAAACTTTCACCTTTCATAAATAAACCCGATGCAAAACTTAACAAATGCCTGTCCAATAGTCTCCAGAAGGCTATCAAAAATTATTTGTTAGAAAGGTAAACTAAAAGCTGGAATTACAAGGAGAGTTTCAAAATTCGGAGGAATATTATACTATATGATTGGTATAGGGTTGAATGTCGATGTTGACATCTCCCGCACTCTGAAAGGTTTTGAATTGTTAGCTGAACACAAGGGAAAATCAATTATTATTCGTTATTTTCCATAGCTTCTTTTTATGTTTGTTCAGTAAAGTGTTCATTGTCTGATCATAAAAATCTTTCATGAAAGTGTTCGTTATCCGATTTTTTCACTATCCGAACTGTTCGGTAACTGATCACCCACTGTATACACTGCATTCTATTAATTTGCAAAACCTTTTTAATTATTGATTTTTGACTAGTCAAGTGTTCCAAAAATAACATTATAAAGAACTTTTAAAAATTTTTTGTGTCATTTTCTATTGATTTTAATTTTGTTTTTGGCATAATTTTTACTTGAAGAATCATTTCCTTTTGACTTACATTACAACTTCAACATGCATATGATTTCCCCCTTCAACTCCCCAGCATTTAAAGTGTAACTGTTTCTAATTCAGCAAAAATTATATGAAGTACAGTACATTGTACTATTAAACTTCTATATATGAATATAATGAAGTAATTTTTAATATGTAGAAAAATACTATTTCAGAAACATTTATTAATATAATAGTTTTTGGTTTGTTTTCACCATATTAAATACATTGTAATTAATTTCACAGAATATAATAAAATGAAACATATAAAAAAACAGTATCATTAGAAAATTAGATTCTTGAAAAATCTCAAATGACATTAGACAAGAGAAATATTTCTTTTAAAATTTATACATGAAAATATATTTGGTAATGTGAAAATGAAAGTTAAAATTGTGAAATTAGACTAATTTGAAAGAAAAATATTCTATTTTTATTCAAAATACAGACAAACATTTATTTAATAAAAATGATCTTAAAAACAGATGATGACAAATTTCTCTTATTTGGTACAAACATGAAATTTTTAAAAATTATCTTAACTCCTAAGCAGAAAGCAGTTTATCCATCAATAGTACTTCAAAGAAAAAATATTTAGTCCTTAATTATATACTGCTAAAATTCACTCAATTTTAAAGACACATTGAGTGCAGCATTAACAGTTAGCCAAATATCAGATAAGAAGTAAAAATACTCAGTGTGTCTTTACTTCTTCTTATCTGATATTTGGCATGAAGATCAAACTATATTGTGTTAAAAGCTTATTTCTATGAAGATAATTTAAAATATATTTCAGTAATTTCTGGAAATTTTAATTATATCATCCATAAAAATACATTATTCTAATCTAATCTATATTGTTTACCATACCTGTTTATGTTGTTTCTGAATCTCCCTCCTGATAGTCAACAGATAAAATAAAATATACATTTTTTTATTACATATGAATTTTATTATTAATATAATAATATAATATCCATTTATTTATAAAAAAAAATACAGCAAAGCTGCTTTAAGGAAGTAATCAGTCCAACAACAACAAATAAATATCATCTACAGTCGACCCCCCTATAACACTGTTGATTATTCCGTTTTATATGAATTCCATGTTGTACGAGTCACTTAGATTTTACAAATAAGTGTGCCAGGCTGTGAACGGCTCACGTATTTTTAAAATCTAAGTAACTCGTACAACATGGAATTCACATAAAATGGAATAATCAACAATGTTATACGGGGGTCAACTGTATATAACAAAATCAAACTGATAAAGTTCTTTTATTATCATTACTTTTCAATCTAAGAGAAGTGTTGATAACAATAAAACTAAATTTTAAGTTATACTGGTAGCAGTTACCAGTGTAACTTAAAATTGTGCCTTGGATAAAATGTCTATGGTAAAAAATTAAATTTCTGCAACTTCTAGACAAAAATCTTACAATTTTTTCAAAAATTTTCTGCATAATATTGCATCTTTTAAATTGTGGATTTTAATACTTTTTCTATAGCATACATTAATTATTGTATTTGCAAAATCAAGAAATGTAGGGTAATTCTAAATTATTGTTGGGATTTCTGTGTCCTATAATTTTCTAACTAGAAACAACAAAATAAAACTGCTTACAGAATATGAAAGTGTAACTAAAAAAATATTATTATGTGTAGAATCTATACTGCAGAAGACTAAACAACTTCAATTTGCATGTCTTTCATGGCACATATTTCTCTTCAACTGTCTAGCATTTGCAGTGTATCTGTCTCTACTGAAGCAAAAATTCTGAACTTCAGTTCATCGAAAAATTGGAGATTGCTTGGAGGAAATCATCCAAACCAAGGTCTGAATGGTCCATTGTGTTGGGGTCATCTAGAAGATGAGAGGCAAGTACAATGTAAAGTACACACATTGCTTCCTTTTGAATAATTGCTATTTTGAAATATGACATCCTATGACCTCTCAGACACCAATCTGGCAAATACAGCATTGCCAAATAAAACTTTTTGAACTACACTTTCATATTCTGTAAGCATTTTTATTTTGTTGTTTCCAGTTGGAAAATTATGGAATATGGAAACACTGACAATAATTTAGAGTCAGTGTGTTTTTTACAATATTTAATAGGATTATTTACTTATAACAATTGAATTATCAATTTATTGTATTAATACTTTTAATAGTAACAAATTAAAAATATATTAAAAAAGTTCTATATACCAGTGTAATCTAAAGTATTATATCAGTTTTGATGTCAAATAAAACTCCAAACTTTTACAACCAAATTCTTAACTAGATCATGTTTGAGAAATTTAATTATTGAAATGGAGTATCTTTTATGACAAATGCTCATTTCTAGCATCAAAATCTTAAAACTTGAGATTAAACTGTTATATTTTGTTAATACATTACTTGTA